GGAGGAATATCCATCAGGGTTGGGTGTTGCTGTATTTGTCAATTGTGATGGCGTCGGCAGTGGTAAACACTCGCAGCGGCAGCAGAGGATGCGATTGATTTTTAACGGCTCGAAGAAGAATCCATCCACTCCCCCTTCCGTGTATAGTCTTCCTGATGGGTGTAACAGTTGTAACTACCAAGGAACACATGTGTCGTAATGCACAAGTGTCCCTCTATTGCTGCCGGTGATTGGGTCGCTTGAGGGTATGAAGATTACTTACTACTCCCCTCGTTGTATCCACGGGTAGCAATTGCCTGGTATGCTCATCCGTGCTCCCAATGTACGGTCGGTAGAGGGCATAATTGTCTTGTTGCAATCTGCATCTCCCTCATTTGTCAATATCATCATATTGCTGGGCATTCTCTTGCATCGTCAAAGTAACGTCGAGGCATGTAATGCTTGGGATTCTGGTAGAATCGCCTCTAATACATTTACCATAGGGTCATAGGTGTGCAAATGATTGCCAGATTCGAGGTCATGACTCCTCGGTTTGTCAATCTCTTGAGGTTGATGTCAAACTGCTCCAACCAATCACTGCGGACGGCTGAGATTCATAGTGAAGATGTATCGATCAGCTCTGTTACGAAGTAGTGCCTCACTATCCCTGACGAGACATAGTAACTGCGTCGTAGTTGCATGCGAAATCTGCTCCTTTGCATAAACTTTTCTTGGCGAGGATTTGCAAGAGAAAACTGCTACAGTACTTTTCTGCAATCCTTTCTATGTCCAATTATCGAAGTATCTCATACCTTCGATGCAGAACAATAGTTTTATGCAAGCCACTTTTGTCGTTGGAGATTTCCGGCTGCATTATTGGTGTACCACCAAAATCTGCTTCTTTGGTGAAGTACGAAATTCTGCTTATTTGGTGTCGATCTAGCGTCAAACAAAGATTCTGACTTCGTAGAAGAGATGTTGTCGATTCTGCGACTGATCAAGTAGTACGCAATCGTTGTGTCGCCAGCTTGAATGTAGACTCCCAGACGTTATTCTCCATCGAGAAGTCTCGCAGTCCATTTTTGCCATCGATTTATCGACGATTTGACGATTTGCAAGCTGCGACAGCATTTTTGCCAGTAGATGTCACAAAGTGGGTGTGTGATATTGAAGATTCGTACTGTCGAGAAGTTTGTTGCCAAAATTCTTGACGTGATGAGGAGATCCAAATTTTAAGAGCTGGAAAATTCGGAAGTTTAGTCGTCGAAGTTGATTTCGGCGTATATCTGCTTCTCTGTGTCAAGTTCTTGTACTGAAAAGACTCGTGCTCGATCTGGTCTGCTGGACCAATGTTGATCCAACGGTCCAAACTCCAAGCGATCTATAATCAACCCGTTTTCTGCAGCAATCCGTAGTCGTCGATGTCCATTCTCAAATGATCGGACGCGCGCGAACAATCCTCTACTATCGAGGCGCCGTTTCCACATGTGTTGAAACTCGAACTCCATCAGCTCAGGCTCATTTTGCCTCGGACGATCGGAAGCATTGAAGTTGAATCGAACGGGTGTCGTAGATCATCGCTGGCGCAACTCCAAGATTCGTGGCGAAGTTGGAAACTCTTGGAGGGCAGAAAATACCCCAGATTTCAATGGAGGTACTTCGGAGGACGTTCTCTCATTTTCAAGGGTCGCTGACGTATGCCCTCCCAAAAAATCGGCTCCATTGATGCTAAGAATCAAACGGTTGGTGATGCTGCTCGCCATCGATGGGGACCCTTGGTGCAACTACTCGAGGTTAGTCAGAACTTAGTAAGAAAAAAATAATTTACTTACGCGATCGAAAAGTTCGACTCCATCCCCGGCGTGCTCCTAGTGGCCCAGCGGGTAAGCGTTGATCGGAAATCTTGTGCTCTGATTATCAAGTGTCATAGGTCCAGGATTTAGCGGAAGCTTGAATGATACTAATCAATGATTGGATCAAGAATTGAATGTCTGCCTGCAAGCAAAGAGGCAATGCTATTTATACCTATGCGAACTCTAAGGAAGGGAAACCAGGGCCTTCTAAGAGAGTTCTAGGAATTAGTGGAACCGTCCATAGGAACACCACCTAGAACGCTAAGAAGCATCGATCTCAACAAGGAGGAAGGTGAGCCAGCAAGCTTCCTGACCGGCCATGGTGCAAGCATAGTGCTCACCCTCGCAGGATTAGAGGGCCATGGAGGAAGAGCTAGTGGAGTGCCAGCTGATGATGCCGCTATTACGAGTGAAATTGTAGCCTTGAGAGGAACGGCGATCCGGCTAGGATTCGGCCTAGGAGGGGTCATTAAAACTGGAGAGAAGGGGAGAAAAAGGGCCTCCAAGGGTGAGGATATAGACCTTCATACCATGGCGGTAGCAGAGGACTTGATTTGTTGCGGCCCAGTGCTCGTCGGTGTGGCGAGCGGGTACCGACAAAGCGAGCAAGAACGCTTATGGGATAGGCAAGGTCAAGGCGGGTGCACATCATAGCGTACATCAGCAAACCGATGAGCTCAGCATAAGGATGGTCGGAGCACGAGGAAGCAGGAGGACGGGCAAGCTGGTGGTTGATTTGCAAGGGAGTGGTAACTGGTTTGACAGTGCCATATGGAACCGCTGCAATACTTGGTCAATGTAAAAGGATAGTGAGAGGGTAATGGTGCGCGTCGCGTGGTCCTGGGTGATGGTCATGCCCAGATAGTGCTTGAGCTCACCCAAGTCCTTGCACTTGAGGCGTGCATGCAGGGCGTCCTTCACCTCCTGCATGGCGGCAGCATCGCCAGCGAACAGGATCATGTCGTCGGCATACACCAAGATGAAGAAGCAGGTGGGAGAGGAGCGGAGGAAAATGCTGCATTGGACTGAGAGGCATTGAACCCCAGGGACTGCAGAGTGGTGGCCAGATTATGACACCACTCCTAAGGCCATAGTCCGGGCGACAAAGCTCCCAGACAGTGCTAGGAGAGAAGGCCACATGAAATCCTTGAAGCCGCCGTAGGAGGACCCGCTCCTAGAGCCGCCTGTGGCTCCTGCTGCAGCTCCGTTCGCTGCTGCTCCGTCTGCTACTGCTGCTGCTGCTAATGCGAGGAGGCAGAGTGAGCAGGGGAGTCAGGGACAGCTGGGTCATAAATGTTAGCGGAGGAAGGAGGAGGGGGGGGGAGAGGGAGCCGGAGAAAGGAGAAGAGCCTAGGGAAGGAGAGGGGGAATAACATCATCAGCCCAGGTGGGGGGTGGGAGGGAGGAGGAAGTGGGTCAGAAGGCAGAACAGAATTAAAGAACGGGATGCTCTCATCGAACACAATGTCACGGCTCTAGAGGAGGCGGCTTGGAGGACAGGTTGAGGAAGAGATAACGAGAGGAAGAACAAGCGTGGCCAAGGTAGACACACTTGAGGGCCTTCGAGATGAGCTTCGCTGCCTACCTAGAATGGTCAAGAGGGCAGATGAGGACATATGCCTTGCAACCCAAGACACAGAGAATGGCATCATCTTGCTTGGTGATGGCCCTACTACGATCACTTGGAACCAACTCTCTTTGCAACGGCACGCATCAGTTATAGCATTACTACGGTATAGGACCGGTACACGTCTGCTATGTCAACCTCGCACGCTTGGTGGTTTCTTGACCTCATGGAGCAGTTATCATCGCTACTGGATGCTGCAGTGCAGCTGAATTCTACTTAGCGCAACTCAGGCATGGAATTATCACCATTCGCTATGCTACTCTGCAACCTGGAATGGAGCGTCACACATCCCAATACTTCAACATGGGATACCTGCTACCTGCACTCGTACAAGCTCACGAGTGTGTGGAAAAAACTACAGAGGAGCTACTGTTCAAGCACAACTTTGTTGGCTTGATTTTCTCTAACTACTTGGAGCCTCACAACCCTCAGTATTTGCTGAAAAACTGGGCACTTTCAACGTCTAGCCGGTTTTGAGGGGGGGAAGTGTGAGAGGATGAGGCTTGCCGAATCCTTGATCACACATGTGGCAGCAGTTCCGCACCGACCTGTTGAAACGTTTCGAACCAAGAATTTTCGGTTTCTTGCCTGGGAAAGAATTAATCGTCATCGACAGTTCAGGAGTGTAGCGCAGTACACCCAGCAGATGGAGGAATTTTATAACCGCATTCCCGACCTAGGGGAAAAATTTGCAATCATACCTCGCCAAGCAAAAGACCGAAGTCAAACGACAAGTGGCAGCGACGAATGACTGTACGCGAGCTACCAGTAACGTCTTATCGGCAGCGGGGCAGGTTTGACATGGTCAATGCCATAACACGATGGGCGCATGTCAGCAGTACGCGATATGGCGAATGCTTGGCACACCCCACGTTCGCCGAACCGATGGAGATCGACAGATGCGCTGGGCAGCTACGACCGAAAAAAACCAACTTCACGTGCGACTTTTGCGGGGTGTCGGGCCCTCGAATCTTTGAAATAGAAGAAGGAAATTGCTTGTGATTGTGGATCTAGCTGGGAACTGGAAAGCGGCCGCGACATCCGAAAAAATCAACTTCGACGAAGCTGATTCGACACGAGTAGGAGGAAATGATGGGGGAAAATCTCCACCCTACGACCAGTCTTTGCCAGGGAAAATCGTCGAGAAAAAATGACTCCGCAAAAGAAATACTCTGTTGAGACAGGGAAATTCCTAGAAGACCCAAGAAAGTATAAGGATTTGTTAAAGTTACCTTATAAAGATGCTTTAATGACAACTTATGATTCTCGAGGGGCTAGAGCCTTGGAGAAATTTCGGGAGGGACTCCAGAAGAAGCAGAACTGGGAAAAAAAAAAGGAGTATGGAGAGAAGTTGGCCTTTCCACAGAGTCAACGTTCTCTCCTGACACCAACCCACATCGACTACTTGCTCCCAAGGAAGACGTTGGTGGAGCTGAAGCAGCTCAAGAGGAAGCTGGGGGTCTACAAGAAGCTGCAAAAACCCCGAAACTCCTCCTTTGGATGCATCCATCTCAGCAACTTCGGCATTTGACGCGCCGCACATTCGTCCAAGAAATGGTGGGCCCTGGAGTAGAGCCTTTCTCCAAGCAGCCTCGCCCAGCTGCCAGCTCAGGAGTAGATAGCAATGAAAATGTGTGTATGGAATATGAGGGCATACCCTATTATCATATTAATTAAGCTATCTTTGGGTACTCCCGAGCAATGCCTGCCCCTCGTGCTCCGAGGTCATGGCAAAGGGGCGACGCCTCCAAGCACTTGTGGACTGAGGAGCATCGCACACTGTATGCGACAAGGCAGCAATCGACCGAATTGGGGAAGACTGCAAGCCTTCAACATTTCTCTGCAACGATGAAGTGGACGGCAGCAAGTTACCAGTCTTTGGTGAAGCCGTGTTACACATACAAATCAGACCACTACGCTGGAGACCTGCCCTTCTCATCATCAATAGAAAGGGTTTGACTTGATCTTCAGGAGAGAATTCCTTCAAAAAAATCAACCCCGAAATCAGTTTGGGTCTACGCGCACTGCAAGCATCTACTAACAACGGAAGGAGAGTCTAGCTACCAAACGGGGACGACACAGGGAGAGTTTCCTGTTGCAAACACTCGCCAGATTCGAGAAGGACATGAAACAATCTGACTCAAGGTCTTGGCGATACAAACAAGTGCAGAAGACGACGGAAAGAAAGCCTTGGAACCTCCAGAAAAAATCAAGGAAATTAGTGAAGAAGTTTGAAGACATTCTTCCCCGATTAATCTTTCCGAACGAAGCTACCCCATACCCAAAAGCCACCAAACCACCGAGATCGTGCAAAGAACCAGGTTCGAAAGCCGACCTTTCCGAGCACCCTATACTGGCTCAGCCCTACAGAGCTAGCACAAACATATAGAAACAGATCGAGTATCTCCTCGAAAAAGGACATCATCCATCCATCCACTTCACCAGACGGGGACCAAGTTACTCTTCACACCGAAACCAAATGGGAAGCCTGCGCATGTGCATCGACTACCGAGCTCTCAACATGCAGACCATCAAGAATAAATACCCTATTCCAAGAATTGATGACCTGCTTGACTAGCTTCGAGGAGCCACGGTATTTTCCAAACTGTATTTGTGGTCCGGATACTGGTAGATAAGAATAGTGGACAATTCCATCCACAAAACTGCCTTCCGAGCTCGGTACGGGTCATACGAGTATCTGGTAATGCCGGACTCAACAATGCACCAGCAACCTTCCAAGCCAAGATGAACCACATTCTACGCCCACTCTTAGACTAATGCGTGATGGTGTATCTGGACGACATTCGCATATAGTCGCGTGATATGAAGCAGCATATCGAACAGTTGCGATGAGTCTTCGACATTCTTCGACGGGAACGTTTCTACATCAATTATCCAAGAGCAAATTTGCCCTAAAAAAGGTCCAATTCCTATGACATATGGTGAGCGCTCAAGGAGTTCATGTCGACCCTAAGAAGATCGAAGCCGTATGCACGTGGAAGACACCCGAGAACGTGAAGGAGTTATAGCAGTTGCTAGGTTTCGCTAACTATTACAGTAGGTTCATGCGACAGTACGCGAAAATTGCCTCACCACCCACGAATCCGCTGAAGAAGAGCACGCCCTATCAATGGGAATCAAAACATCAAGAAGCCATGGAGCAGCTGAAACAGGCACTCACGTCGGCACCAAAACTCATCTTGCCAGACCCCTAACGCGACTACAAAATCCAAGCTGACGCCAGTAACCAGGCAGTGGGAGCAGTCTTAATGCAAGACCAGGGGAATGGACTGCAACCGATCGCCTATCTCAAGAAACTACACGGGGCAAAACTAAATTACCCGATACACGACGAAGAGGCCCTTCCTATTGTCATCGCCTTCAAAACACGGAGATGCTATCTCAAAGGATGAAAAACAATCGTCTACACCGACCACTGCAACCTGAAATATTTGAAGACATAGCCAAACCTCTCCAGGCAGCAGGTCCGATGGATTGAGTTCCTCGAGACGCACTTCCACTATGATATCATGTACAAGTTCGGCCACAAAAACAAAGCAGATGCTTTCAGCCGGCCTGCATACGTTGCCGCTATCCAAATCGAAGGGATGAATTCACTACTCAAGGGATGAATCACAAACGGGTAAACCATCAACCCCGAAATTCCCTTGGTAGAAAAGCGACATCTCCTACAAAGGAACGGTGATATTGCATTTTAGAAAGGATTAAAATAAATGTGGGTACCCAACTACCCACCTTTGCGCCAGTTACTGTGTTGTGTAATGTCATCATATGCTATCACATTCTGTCTGCCTCCCATCCCATGTTTTCAACTTGCATGTGTGGTTTGAATGTGCAAGCATTTGTGTGTGGTGTGTTCTGGAGTTTGGGAATGTGTTTGTGTTATTTTGTTTGAGCAGGTATTTGTGATAATAGATCTTGAGAAGATCTTTCCGACGCAACGAGAATCCTTCAATCGGAGCAAGAACGCGAAAGCTATGAAGATTCAAAGTTCATGAGCTTGCGTTACAATTGCGGCGGTTACAAAGTGAAGTTGTGGGGTGATTTATATGGAGTTGGGACCTTTGGGGTTGGGGAAACTTGTCACTCTACTGTAACAGCTGCAAATTGGTTGGGAACAACCAAGCTAGGTTGGCAAGGGTGGCCAACTTGGATGGATTGGTTGGGAAGGGACAAATGTCAAAGTTGGGTTCCTATAGGGAGGGAATCTTTGTGCTTATGGGGTTTCCTTGGTTGGGGACTCTCTTGGGACCTTCCCTCTCATCCTCTCTTCTATCCCAACCTTTCTCTTGCTCCTTCTAATTCCTTGTGAGATTCTTGAACTTTGATTGAACTTTGAGATTGAGTTAAGTTCTCCTCCTACAGCTTACCCCCTAGTGCGTCGAAAGCCATAGCGTCGCGAATACTTCATCAATCAACGTGATTCAAATTGGGAACGGTAGCTGAGATTAAGAGCTACAACATATCCAAGTTTCGCGACATTCCAACGGCTAGTTTTCGTCGACGTCGTTTCTTGTGAAGACGACTTTTCTGTCCAGAATTTCGGATTTATATTTTGAGTAATTCTAGCTCCTAAGTTCACCTAGACTCCGTCCTTAATCCTAACAAGTGGTATCAGAGCAATATTAAGGACATTGAGAGGAGTCTACAGAAGTGTGAAGACCCTTCTAGACCCACCATGGCCTGTGGGTGTGCCTAAGTGGTGTTCTAAAGGTTGGATGTGTCTTCCGCTAAGGGGAAACTCTGCCGAAATTTCGTGGACGCCGACACTTGTGAAAATATCGAGGGAGCTGAGTGTGGACAGCAAAGGGGAGCTGAAATTCGTCATTTCTCAAGGAGAAGATGAATGAGAGAGGAGGAGATGCTAATGGAAGAGGAGCTGTAGCTGAGAAGACAAGTGAGCCGCCGCCATCAAAAGTTGAAGCTTTGGATGGCTCCAACTATGAGGAATGGAGCGGACGGATGAGGAGTGCCTTCAAACGCTACAAGCTACTGAAGATTGCTGTTGGGGAAGAGAAGATGCCGGAAGAAGGCGAAGCACGTGAACGGTGGATTGAGAAAAGCGCGGTGCTTTTCGACCTCATCCTTCAATCGGTCAACAAGGAGATGTTCGAGCACATCAAGGATCTTGTGGAAGCGGATGATTCGGGTCCAAGGGCGTGGAAACTACTACGCGATGTGATTCAGCCCAACACTCTCCTGATGGTGATCGTGCTCGAGAAGGAACTTGCTGCCATCTCCATGCGACCAGGGGACGATGTGAAGCCGGTCCTTGACAAGATCAAGGACACCTATGCAAGGATGGCAGCAGCGGGCAGCAGTGTATCTCAGCTGCAGCAGTGCACCAAGATCATCTCGGTGTTGGACAACTCTTGGGACAACCTCATCCCCACCCTCAACTCTCAGCAAGATCAATGGACACCTGAGTGGCTAAGGCAGCAGATTCTGCAGGAGGACTTCCGCAGACGCCATGTGGGAGGCGGTGCTGCCACTAAGACTGCTGAGGGGTATGGAGCTGCAGGGCGCGGCAGAGGAAGAGGGGGTTGGAGAGGCCGAGGCCGTGGGAGGAGCTTTGGCAGAGGTAGAGGCCGAGGTGACTATAATGAGGGGCATGGGAGCTCTAGTGGCAGGGGGAGTACCAGAATGGAGGGCACCTGCTGGTACTGCAAGAAGTGGGCATCCTTGGTTCAAGTGCTTCAGCAGGCCGGAGGGATGGGCACCTCCAGGCATGAAGCCCCCAGTGGTGAACGCGCACAAGGTGGCGCTGTGCAAGGCTCAGGTGCACAAGGTGAAGGTGCACAAGGTAATGCCTATCCTGGTTTGTTTCTTATGGTTGAGGATGTGCATGGGCATGAGGGTGATGTGGGATCTGTGGGAAAGGTTGTGATGCACCCTCTCACGCACTGGGTGATTGATTCGGGTTGCACCAGTCACATGACCCCACGGGCAGATTTGCTTGATGAGGTAAAACCCCCTGGGAAGATTAAGTATGTGGCAGCAGCGTCAGGTGCTTTGCCCCGTCATTGGTGTTGGGAATGCCAAGGTTAAGGGAGCTAATGGGGAGCTTGTGGGGCTTGGGAATGTTCTGCTGGTTGAAGGCTTGTCTGCTAACCTTCTCTCTGTGCGCGACTGCAGAAGAGCAAGGCCGAAGTGACCTTTGGACCAACCAGCTGCCGTGCTAAGCTTGGGAAGAAGGTGCTGTGGAGTCTGGAAGAGGAGACCAGCTGCATCAAGGACCTGTGGCAGCTGCCCATCATCCCTTGGAATGGGAAGACTCCAACAGCAGCAACGGCAGCAGCGGCAAAGGCAACAGCAGGAGGAGATGCAACTGCACCAACTGATGGGGTCCTGGAAGCAGTCAAGAAAGTGCAGAAGCAGCAGACACATGGTGAGGTGCTTGCTGGTGTGGATGCGAGTGCGGCATGGGCTAAGGCTTCATCAAGGAGTGGAGAGGCCGATTGGGAGACATGGCATGAGAGGCTGTGTCATGTGAACTTCCCTATGCTGCAGAAGTTGGTGAAGGATGGGAGCCTGAAGGGCTTGGAGGTGAAAGGGGGAGTGAAGGAGATTGGGAGCTGCCCTACATGCTTGGAGACCAAGTTCTCCAAGTTCCCCTTCAACAGCACTACAGGACCAGCCAAGACCCCACTTGCACTTGTGCACATGGATGTGGTGGGGCCCACAAGAGCCCCTTCCCTCTCAGGCAGCCGCTATTTCTTGACAATTGTGGATGACCACACTCGGGCAGTGTGGGTTTACCCTTTGAAGAGCAAGGGGGAGGTGGCAGCGGCTGTCCTTAAGGAGTGGATGCCTAGAGCTCAGAGGGAATGCGGACACAAGGTGAAGGTGATCCGCAGTGACAATGGTGGGGAGTTCATTGGAGCTGATTTTGAGGGGGAGTTGAAGAGGAAGGGGATCCAGCATCAACTGACAGTGCCCTACAACCCGCAGCAGAATGGCGTGGCTGAGAGGTTCAACAGGACCCTGCAGGAGGGGGCACGCACTCTCCTTGGGCGTGCAGGGCTGCCTGATCCGTTTTGGGTGTCTGCACTGAGGCAGGTCGCCCTTGTGAAGAACAGGGTGCTGGCTACAGTTGGAGATAAGGAGTGGATCCCATATGTCAAGTGGTATGGGAGTGCTCCAGCTGTGAACATGCTGAGGGCATTTGGGTGCATGGTGGTGTTTCATGTGCCTAAGGAGAAAAGGGGGAAGTTGGAGGCTTCTGGAAGATGGGGTGTGCACTTGGGGATTGCAAAGGATCACAAGGGGTGGCTGCTATGGGACTTGACCACCCAGAAGTTGACAGTGTCAAGGGATGTGAAGTTTCTTGAGTCCCTGTACTACAAGGAATGGAAGCAGCAGCAACAGAAGCTTCCATCTACACCGCTCATTGTGGAGGCAGATGAGGTGCAGCAGCCTTCAAGACAGGTGGAGGTTGCAGTGTCAGAGGAGGAGATGTCTGGGGTGACTGAGGAAGGGGGAGCAGCTGAAGTAGAGCAGCAGCAGCAGCAAGCATGAGTCTCCACCTCGAGTTCCACACCCGCCTGAGCGACCTAGGAGGGATGTGCGCCCTCCAGTGAGGCTGACCTATGGGGGAAGAGGCAAGCCGAATGTGGTGCAGGCTGGGAGTGTGGTTGAGCAGATTGAGGAAGATGAGATCGCTCACTGCTACTGGGCACCAATCCCTGAGCCCAAGACTCGAGAGGAGGCCTTGAATGGACCAAATGGGGAGAAGTGGAAGGCGAGTGAGGATGAGGAGTTCGGGTCCCTAATTGAGAACGAGACATGGGACCTGTGTGACTTGCCTCCTGGAAAGAAGGCAATCACTTCCAAGATGATCTACAGGCACAAGTATGGACCTGAAGGGGAGCTGACCCGCTACAAGTCTAGGCTTGTGGCACGGGGGTTTCAGCAGACAAAGGGGAAGGACTATGATGAGGTGTTTGCTCCTGTGGGGAAAGGAACAACACTGAGGGTGCTGTTGGCGATAGCTGCACTCCTGGGATGGAAGATACGGCAGATGGACATTGTGACTGCCTTTCTGAATGGGATCATTCTGGAGGAGGTGTACATGAAGCAGCCAGAGGGGCTGGATGATGGGAGCGGCAGGGTCTGCAGGCTGAAGAAGGCCATCTATGGCCTTAAGCAGGCGCCTCGTGCATGGTATCACAAGTTGGAGGAGGCGCTGTTGGCTGGGGGTTTCAAGAAGAGTGAGTGTGACCCCAGCCTGTTCCTGCTGCAGGAGAAGGATGAAATCCTCATGCTCTTGGTGTATGTGGATGATATCCTTCTCTTTTCTGCATCAACTGCTTTGCTGGACAGCGCAGAGCAGATGCTGGAGATGCAGTTCAAGTGCTCCAAGATGGGTGAGGTGAAGTACTACTTGGGGATGCATGTGGAGAGAGATGTGGAAAAGGGTGTGCTGAGGTTGCACCAGAGGAAGTACTGTGAGGGGCTGGCTGAGAAGTATGAGCAGCTGGAAGCGGCCAAGAGGTTGGTCCGCTATGTGAGTGCTACGGCATCAGTGGGATTGGAGTACAGTGGAGTGAGGCAGCAGTTGCAGAGAGGTGCTGCAGATGTGAAAAGTGATGAGATGCTCTTGAGTTGCTATACTGACGCTAGCTTCAACTCAGTGAAAGCGGATGGCACCAGCATTGGGGGTTATGTGTGCTTGCTAGGAGGTGGTGCTGTGAGCTGGCGCAGCAAGAAGCAGAATGAGGTGGGATTGTCCTCATGTGAGACTGAGTACATGGCCTTATACCATGGGGCCAAGGAAGTGGTCTGGCGGAGGCAGATCATTGGAAGGGCATGAAGCTTGCTGGGATGAGTGTGCATTGAGTATGCATGCTTGAGATGTGGTATGGTGGATGATGGTTGGCAGCCAGAGGGGGAGATTGTTGTGTGATGTCATCATATGCTATCACATTCTGTCTGCCTCCCATCCCATGTTTTCAACTTGCATGTGTGGTTTGAATGTGCAAGCATTTGTGTGTGGTGTGTTCTGGAGTTTGGGAATGTGTTCTGTGTTATTTTTGTTTCAGTAGGTATTTGTGATAATAGATCTTGAGAAGATCTTTCCGACGCAACGAGAATCCCTTCAATCGGAGCAAGAACGCGAAAGCTATGAAGATTCAAAGTTCATAAGCTCGCGTTACAATTGCGGCGGTTACTAAGTGAAGTTGTGGGGTGAATTTATAT